CCGTGGCCTTGCTGTCAAGGTCAGTGGGACTGGGGATGCGATTCTTACGAGGAATCATTACTTTCCTTTAAAATAAAAAAGAAAAAAACAAGTTTTTAAAATGATGTAGTAAATATATATATTTTTTATAAATTTTTATTAAAAAATAAAAATTAAATTTATTATTTGTTTAATTAAATTTAAAATTTATTTAATTTGTGGCTTTTAAAATAAGTTAAGGTGTATTTATTAAATTTTTTTTTATCATTAATACATATAATAAAAATAAAAATTAACATTAATTTTATAAATTGTCTAATAAAAAGTATTTACATGACATGGATGTTGAAAAATTAATGTCAACTTTTTCATTTTTCGAAGTAAATTACTTTTTTAATTCATTTTTAATAAACCTAATTTGATTTTTGAATTTTTTTATATAAATTTCAAATGAAAATTTAGTATATTAGGAGTATAAATGATAACTAATTTTTTTTTCAAATTATAGTACTTAACAAAAACTTTAAATAGGAAAAAAAATTTAATTATTATTCATATAAGTTATTGATTTTTAATTTAAAGTTCATATTTTAAAAATAAAAAAATTAAATTAAATTTACTAAAAATAAATTAATAGAGTGATATATAAAAAATATATTTAAAACACTTTTTAACCTATGTCTTATGCTATTGGAATAGACAAACTCTTAAATTTATCCACTTAATACTTACACTAAAATTAATGTTAATTTATATATATTTCTATATATCTATTTATGATAAAAAAAAACTGCTCCTAACTTGTATTTTTAGACACATTTAAGTTTTTCTTTTTCTTTTTCTTTAAGATGAAGAAGAAACTATTCACTTTCAAACATTTGAAAACAAGAAAATGATCCACTTATATACAAATTTTATATATTATACTTACACAAAATTTTAATTATTTATTTATCCGTTTTCAATGATTGAGATTTTTTATGAGTTTTTAGATTAAAACAATAATTATTTTTAATAAATTTTAATAATTAAAAATAAAAAAAATTTATTAAGATTTTTTTTTAAAAGCATTTTGACATGGGACGGATTTGAAACCCACCCAGGAGAGGGAGAAATGCACTTTTCAATAGCACTAGCTATTGAGCCTCTAGGACTAAGTGCGAGATTTTAAATAAATATAATATATAAAATTTATACGTAAATAAATTCTTATTATGAAAATAAAATGGATATTATTATCATTTTTTCCCTCAAATTTGGGTTAAATTCCAACCGGCTTTTCTCTGTCATTTGCCAAATGCTGCATTTCTATTGTTTCTATATATGCCCTTTTCCTGATAACCAGTTTCCATATATTATCAATTCCCTCTTTTTTTTTTTTACCCAACATCAATTCATGTTGTTAATAAGTAATTTTCC